TATTAAATTATCTTTCTTTACCTACTAATAAAGCACGCATTGCTTCTGTCGGGTTCACCGTCACAATACGCTTCTTTCCGTGACTTTACGCTTTCAGTTTGAATTTAAAACATATTCAAGGTGGTACTAAAAGGAGGATTGTTTCTCCACTTTTTTTGGTTTGCGGTGGGACCAGATGTTTTTTCGTCCGTCATGGGATTAATATTTTTTGTCGGTCACAAATCCTCTCGAGCGAGTTTGTTTTTCGTTCGGTGAAAAATCAACATAAAATAATGTGCCCAGTTGGGCTCGAACCAGCGACCTATGTTCGCGCGCCTAGCCACTATGCCAGGCTGCCTTCAATGGAAGTTTCACAGCGCGGGTTTTAGAAAAGAGAGAGAGTGGCAAAGCAAACATAAAAAATGATAACAAAAAATTGCGCGTGAGTGGGACCAATCGCATGACCTCCCGTGAGTTAACAACGTCCCTAGCCACTGTAGTTCTTCTATTTTTTTGTCTAAAAATTGCAGCAAAATATTTAAACTTTTTTAAGTTTGCAAACATCTTTTGAAAAGAAGTGAACAAAATTTCAAATTCCAAACAATTTTTGAATTTCTGGACAAATTTGAAAACAGGATTTTTTTTTGAAAAAATGAACTAATTTAAAAAATGTAAACATTTTATAAGATTCTGAACATTTCTTGAGAAAAGAAAAAGAAACCTTGAGTGAGTAAATTGGACTAGCTCGTACTTCTCTCTATTACATTCATCCATCATTATTAAGCCAGGTGCAATGAGTACATCCGTTATTTTTGGGTTGTTCGATAAAAATGCTTAATTTAATCTCTCCAGCAGATCGTTATAAAGCACCAGCCAATGCATGCGATGGGTTTTCTTTCCTCCGATTGGTGCATTGTATGGAGGCCCAATTATCCCACGTGGCAGCCAAAATATAATATTTATGTAGAAACTGCTTCTTCACGCGGTCACTGGCTACAGTTAGGTATCTTTTTGCACGCACAATCTTCATGAACAATAGATGTATTTTACGCATAATTGAATACATATAAATTTTTCTCCCGTTGCAACGCACGGGCATTTGTGCTATTTTATTTTTAAAAGATGTCATGCAGTGTTCTAATATTATCCATACAATTTTCAAAAATGTTAGTGGCATTTAAAAATGTTCATACGTTTCAAAAAATATCCTTGTGACATTTTGAAAAAAAATGTTTATACAATAAAAAACATTCGTGCAATTTAGAAAAAATATTCACACCACTGAAAAAATGTCCTAACGCTTAACAAATGTTCAACGTGGATTAAAAATGTCCAACGTGTACTTGAATTTTTTTAAAGTTGTATCTGAAAAATGTTTCTCATTGTTCAGAAAACGTTCATCGTGCATTAAAAAATGTTCAAGGTGTGTTGGAAAAAATGTTTAACATGCATTTGAAAAAATATTAATCATAAAATGTTCAGTGTGTATACAAAAATATACACATTGGAATTGCCGTAGTATAAATCTTGGAGCTGACCCAATTACTACTGCCTCTTATGTCATTATCTTGACGTTTTTAAATCTCTTGCCGGCTGCTAGACGGGAATTGGAGAATCCTCCGCCTTGTCTCTCTTGTCATTGCCGATTTAGTCCACTCATCATTGTTTTTCACGATGAACTCTGCGTTGTTTAGCTGGAACGCCTTGTTGTGCCTTCGTATATATCCCTACATAGTTATTCTAGTCTGCCAACGCATGAGATGAAATACGGTTCCATTCCCATGGCAACTCATCGTCTCATCCCATCCTCTAAACCCTGTTCCTCACGGCCATCGTCTCGCTCGCCGGCGCAATAGCTGACCAGCAACTGCAACCACCCATTGTCAGTGACTGCCTAATCGTAAATAACAGCACCAGGCCCGGCAGTGCAGAGCGGCTTCTGACAAATGTTGGCTCGCTCGTCGAACAACTATGCGCCGGCGCCATCGGCAACGGCGGCTTCCGCAACGGCAGCTACGGCAACCCGCCGGGCCAGGTATTCGGCTGCATGTACCGTAAAACTGACATTGTGTCTGAATTTTCACAAAGTGTGTGTCTGTGTATTCAGGCGCTGTGCCCGCGCTTCCCCCAGCTCGAAGCTCGGCCAAAGGAAGCTGCTAATCGCCGTGTCCATGGCTGTTGGTTTCATCTTGTCAGTCAAATCGTGTCCTTGTGGTAAATTTGGTAAAATGGCATAGTGAATGTACTCCCTCCGTTTTTATTTAGTTCGCGTATTAGCTTTGGTCACTTGGCTGTTCGAGTATGTAGTAGTGGGTTGTCACTTGTCAGGCTGCAATTGTTATAGAAAAGCACCTAGTCAACAGTATGTGTGCACGCTTGGGAGGTGGAAGTTGTGTAGCAGCCGATGCCATGGTCAGCTGAGGTTGACAAAGTGTGTTGTAGTCTTGTAGAGCACGTCCGGCTCACATTTACCATGGGATTTGTGCGTAAGTTATCGGGTCTACAGTACGTATGTTACCATGCTATTTACACAGAAAATTATGATGCATGTGTTTTCAACAACTTTTTCTAGGGTTCAAAAATGTTAATATGGTGTTTGTACTTGAATTATCAACTCTGAGGTTCGTAATTTACCATGCTATTTACATTTGCATTAGTCTTTACTTGTTCAAAAGCAAAAGAAAACATCCGTACAAGCAGTGGCGGAGCCACCGCCCGGCTAGCCTGGGCAGTTGCCCGGGCTCGCTAGCTGCCCTACATGCAACGATGGCGCTATCGAAGCAGGGAAAATATTCCTCGCATGGTGGTTTACCCGGGCAGTGGGCAGCTGGGCCAATGGGCTTCCATTTCCTCTCCAGTCAACAACCTTAATTAATTAATTAATTAATTAAGCACTAGTAGGCAAGTACGCTATGAGTGCCCACGTGAGACAAGCCTACTTGTTCGTTTTTTTTACGCTAAGACTTATTTTGATGTCACGGCGAGGGGAATTGGTCATTGGGGATGATTACCACTTATGAGCTTAGTCCTTCATTTAGGGGTTTGTTTCAGATAGTTGATGTTAATTTCAAATTTTCAGTTATTAAAATTGAGAGATGATGTGGTTTTTGGAACTAAAATGTTAGTGGTGTGCGATCTTGAACATAAGTAGAGCAATAACCACCATGTCATATTTCCTAGTGAGATGGTTGCAAGCTCTCTATTTTGAATATATTCATGAATCATAATACTTAATATATGTGAATTAAAAATCCATTTTTTATCATATAGTCTCTTCTAGGATATTTGAATGGTAATTTGGATAGTTATATTTCCGTCGGCAATATGACGAGTTTGGCTGCATGCCTGGTTCTATGACTTATGTTGTCAAGTCTCAACATAATTTTGGCTTATGAAACTAAATAAATACTCTGTCCATCTCAAAATAAGTGTCGTTGATTTAGTACAAAATTTATACTAATTTAGTACAAAATCATCAGCGACGCTTATTTTGGAACGGAGGGAGTATATATTAAATTATTTCACTCTAAAATTACATTTGTATAATGTCTATGGTTATATTTTCACTACATGATTAATGTGGATTTGTGGTTTGAAAGTTTGATGCTATTTTATATGTTGTGTATTGAACGCCCGATTTTGGTTCAAGATTAGACACTTGGGCTCAAATTTGCCCAGGCTTCGCAAAAGTTCTGGCTCCGCCACTGCTGGATGGCCTAGCTCATCATGGGTGCACTGGTGAGGTGAAGTGGGCAGTACTGTAAAAGGCCACCCTGCATTTGTGTAGCAGGTTTGCCAGGCAAAATAGAAAAACAAAAAAAAAGAAGGCACACAAAGCAATGGATGCTGGAGCAAACCAACCTGTGTCTCTCTCCGTTCTTGGCTCACGCCCTTGCCAGCGTTGATTGATCCAAGCTGTGTGTGCGCACGTCCACCAAAGGAGAAGGGTGGCACCAGAGCTAGAGGAAGAAGGTGCAGCGGTGGCGGCGCACAAGAAACGTGGGGAGGAGCAGGAGGCGTCGGAGAATGAGGAGCTGGCCAAGGCGGCCGGCTAGATTGCCTTATACGGATATGCCTATCGGTATCGGGGCGATACAGATAGGAGTACATAAATACGTCATGTCTGAAAGCTTTAACAATCCACTATATATGTACTCCCTCTGTCCCAAAATGTCCTTTCTGAAAGCTTTAACATTTTGGGACGGAGGGAGTATTTTACAAGCAATAATAATCCACTATATATATATATATATATATATATGCAAATTTGACCAAATTTTAGAAGCAATAATAATGCTAGTATGCGAATTAGACCAAATTTTATATTTAAAAATATCAACAATCTTCTCAAGTCAAACTTTAATGATGTGAGTGTTAAGAAGCAAAGGGAGTAAACAAAACCAAAGAGGCATCATCCCTCCTCTCCCTGTCCCTTTCTCGGCTCAGCAATTCCAAAAGATTCTTGACCAAATTTTGCAATTCATACACTGACCATAGGGCATACTAGTGCATAGTACCTCCGTCCGGGTATACAAGGCCACCGAGCCAGCTACCCACGTCCGGTTTTTCAAGGCCCGCTGGAGAAAATTCGATGCATGCAGCATAGCTGATTGGATGCGAGAAAAACAGAGCGACGTTTGGCATTAAAGCACCGGAGGAGAACCAGCTGCTTGGCTAGCTAATCGTTTGTGTTGCATGCTGGTTGGCGGATTAGTGGGCTTGCCTTGGTCCGCGTGCACTGGCTGGCCGGCCTAAAAAACGCGGACCGAGGTTGTATTTGACTACTACTAGGAAGCAAGCAGATCAAAGCTGACAAGCATACAACAAAGGATAAAAAATCCAAAGAACAAAGCAAGCACACAACAACAAATGTGTTCCAAGTCAATAGTGCCACAGTGGCTCACATGCGTACAAGTTGGATAAGTAGCCCTAAAGTTTAGATAATAAGTAGTCAACTAGCCGAGACCTTGAAAGTGGTTTTGCACCATACACTCCAGTTAGGCGAAGGAAGGCCAGGTAGATCATCCGGGACCTTTTACAAAGCCCTGATTAAACGTTGCACCATATACTCCAACAAGTAGTCCAGGTAGAAGATCCTTTAGCTTAGCATCAAGCTGGGGATGCTATCACACACAAAACACACAAAAAGGGTCAGTTGTTTATATAATACAGCCCCAAAACAAAATAATATAATAATTTGTGATTGGTTAGTTTACCCCGACAGGATCATGCTCGTGATAATGGGATACGGCTACTTTTGCAAAGTGCAAGGCACCCCAAGTATTTGGCTCAAACGCTGTGGCCCACTTATTTTCTTTCTGAAAAATCATAATCTCTCTAAAACCAAAATCTGTATTTGGATCAGCAGGATCAACTTGGACTTGCCACCCTTGTGTGTTAATGTTGTTCTGCAACCAATCTTTTTGACGTTGGGTAAATTTTCTTTTAAACAATTCCTTGTACATGCCCTCCCTAGCGCCGGAGTCTCCTAGGAATGGATGATTGAGGACATCTTCTTTGCTGCCAAAAATGATTAGAGTTAAACACATATGATGGTCAATGCTAGAAGAATTAGTTGGCTAGTGCATACCATATATTTGGATTAAGGAGGAATTGATGAAAGTGACTTAGTTCAACATCATTTGTCCAGCGGTTCAAAATATTGTGGAATATCATGTCTGCCCAACCTTGCAAAGGCCGCCTAGCATCACCAAGATTCCTTACACGAACATGGGATGGCTTAATTTGCATCATGTCGCCATTGAGACCATAAGTTCCACTAAGGTGCACATCATCTACTGTCATGTTTTTGTCCCATAACCTCTCAAGTAGCTCATACAAATCCCTACCATGATTAAAGAGATAAATTTACATCACTAACAAAATAATAGAATTTAATGTGACAGAACTAATATGAAGCAACTAGCACAACCTCAAGTGCTACATACAAATTCAAATTCCTGCAAGAGATAAATTTTCATCACTAACAACATAGCACAATTTAATGTGACAGATCTAATATGAAAAGCCACTAGCAGAACCTCAAGTGCCACATACAAATTCCTAACAGAGATAAATTTGCATCACTAACAAAATAGCACAATTTAGGTAAATTTTCATCACTAACAAAACAACATAATTTAATGTGACAAATCTAATATGAATACAAGGCAAAGCACTTTATAATGGGAGAAACTTATGAGACATAGCAACTTGCACAATCTAAAAGACTAGACTAATGTGTGGAGCAAATACAAGTGTACGAGGCAGTGTAAGCAAATACAAGTGTATGAGGCAATGTAAGCAAATATAAACCAGAGAGGATAAAGAGGGGAGGAGGGTTTCCATACCTAATACTATCTTTTAAAATTGTGGGAACGTTAACGGAACCTTGAATTCTTAATGAATTTAACCAGGAGTCTACACTTTGGGGGATGTGAGCATAAGCTGTCACAGTTCTTGCAATCTCCCTATTATAGGCGACACCATGGGTCTTAACAATCCCTATATCAATTTCTGGGTTCAGCCCAATTGAGTCTAGCTGATTAAAGGGCAATTCATTCTCAACTAAGAAAGTAGCTGCTAGTTTCTGCACTTCTGTTGAATCAAATCCTTCTTCCGGATTCCCAGCAAAAGCTATTGCTTTATTTGAATAATGTATAAAACCATGTTTTTCTCCAAGTACTCCATTTTGAGAACAACTAAACTCATAGGGCTGAATAAGAGTACCATAGCTTTTAGCACGAAAGTCTCTGGCTTTATCTCTCGCGCATCTATGGAATATTTGTTTCTCACTTTGCTGCAATTGTACAGAACAGGTGGGGATGAGCTTATTAGGTTGAGGGGGGGAAAAGGAAAGGAGGAAAAACTTGGATGCAAAGGAATGTTATGCTCTGCTTATACTTACATGGTGTGGTTGTGGCTGATCCACTTCCATTTCTTCCATGCTGAAAAATGAACAAAACAAAGAAATACACATGAGAAACGAAAAACAAAAATAAACAAACCAAAGAACAGGGGAGGGGAAAGAAACATACCTGGGCTTTCTTTTCCTATCTTCATCTTCCCGGTGCGAGCCAACAGCCAAGGAGCAGCAGCGGAGCAGCCCGAGCAAACGTGCAGGGAGGGCGGCAGCGGCGGTGGGATCTAGGGTTTAGGTTTCCTAGGTGGTGGAGTCGGGTGGGGGTGCCTTTTGTAAGGCCAATGGCGCAGCCATTCATAACCTAAACCAATAGGGGGTGGGCTCACCTGGTTTGCATGGGCCACATTGTTTGGGCCTGTGCGATTATTTCCCCTTTTGCATTTTCCTTATATTACATTAAGGACTGTGATACAAAAAATGACCCTTATATGGGACTTTTACCCCTTTTTTTTGAGGAAATGCCATCATGGCTAGCTTTATTGAATTAAAACATGCTTACATCGTCCACGAGTTCCCTCATCAAGAAATCGGGAGGCTCGTCCAACCAACTAAAAGAGGACTTATTACGATAACTATGATTAGCTAGCACATGCGCTACATTATTACATGATCGTAAGCAATGCTTAAAGGTGACCTTTCCAATAGATGAACCAATATCTATGCATTCTGCAAATAAGACTGCAGCTTCATCCCACCATCTTGTTTGTCCAGAGCAGAAATTAATGACTTGAAGGGAATCAGACTCCGCTTCTATCCTACTAAATCCAAGGGAATTAGCAAATAGTAATCCATCTCTCATGGCCATTGCCTCCGTGGTGATAGCATCGGCTACAATAGCAATGAATTTGCAGTGAGCCACAATAAAATTTCCCTTGATGTCTCTGAGAATAGCTGCAGTTGCACCAATGCCCTCATGTGCAAAAAAAGTTGCGTCAACATTAAGTTTTATGAATCTTGTGTCCGGTTTCCTCCATTTTGTTTCAGGCAACTCGGTCATTCGGTTAGAGGCATTTTGGAAATTCCTCACAATGGACAGGACTGAGATAGGCCATCTCCATGAGGGTGGGTATGTTCCATTGTGTGTGGCCTGCCTCCTAATCCACCATAGGTACCACGCTCCCACCAAAATGGCCTATTTAAAATTGATGTTCGGATGCATAGATAGATGACTGTCCATAAGTGATAGTACATGTGTGACAATGATCGATCCCGATCTATCCACTGGCAATGACTGATTCACTAGTTCCAGCAAGCCTAGTCGGTCCCACAAATTCCTTGCATGCGTGCACTGGAATAGAAGATGATTGATGTCCTCCGCCCCCTGATGGCAGATTGGGCAGGCTCCATTAGACCCGACATGCCTATTAGCGAGGATAGCTCGCATCGGGATGATTCCTCGTAACACCCTCCATCCAAACACTTGAACTTTATGTGGAACTGGGAGTTTCCAAAGTGTACTCCAGACTGCCAGAGGTGTGGATCCACCAGGGGTCTCCATCCTAGTTGCATGTGCTTGAAAAGTATGCATCCATTGTAAATGGTAAGTTGTGCGAACAGAGAAAATACCAGTCCGGCTTGGTTGCCATGCAATAAAATCATCAAAGGCATGGAGATTGATAGGAATCTGTAGTATTCTGCGGACATCTACAGGATAGAAAATATGTTGTAGTAAGTCCTCATCCCAAGTGCCCGTCATAGGATCAATTAACACTAGTAGAAAAAGGGCCATTTGTCCCGGTTCATAAGGCCCATCTGTCCCGATTGGGGAACCGGGACTAAAGGGTCATTACTAATGCCCTAGGCCTTTATTCCCGGTTCTTATACTAACCGAGACAGATGGGCCTCCACGTGGCCGCTCCGGCGAGCCCAGGAAGGAGGGCCTTTGGTCCCGGTTGGTAGCACCAACCGGGACCAATAAGCTTCCATGCGTCAGCATTTCAGGGGTTGTTTTTTTTGAAAGGAGGTGGTTTAGGGGTTTTGGGGGTTAATTTAGGTTGTTATAGGTAGCTAATGGAGAGATGTGTCCTCTCTTATCTCTGTACTACTGCTACTGCTATGCCTAAACATGACTTAGATTGAAGTGAGGCAACATGTGGTGCATGTCGAAAGTAATACTAATCCTAACTTGATCAAGTTTGGATTGTACAACTTTTGACATGCACCACATGCATGTTGCCTTCACTTCAATCCAATCCATGTTCATTTCACCCACAGATATATAATAACTCTTCATGCTCGCATCATGCATCATCGTAATAACATGTCCTACTAATCATCATCATACAACTTCTACTCGTTATTAATAACAAGTCATACGATCATCATCCCGATAGTCATCGAACCAACCCTACTTTGTTCTTAGCACATGATCATCAGTATTAGGTAGGACCTAAATACCCTCTTGAAGGTAAAATAACATAAAACAATATAGACCCTGACTCTCCATTATGGAGAATGGAGATCATCCTGTCTCCAATTCTTGCGCTTCGCTTCCTTTTGCTTCCAAGAACCTCCTTACGACTGTCCATACATTTTTCCATTTATCGATTAGCATGTCTCCACTTCTTTGAGAAATCCGGTATGGACAGTTGAGATTCATAGGATGACCTGGATATATGTTCAAAACACGAAGGCTGCCATTCTGATACATCAAATGAGGCACACAATCCTCTGGGATTCTCTGTTGAAAAACACAGTAATAACTTCATAGTTAGCAATGATGTACTAGTTTTAGAAGTATGCAAAAGATGCACGGATGTCGTAATAGTAAAAAATCTTACCAGGGTATCTCCATGGTAGTTACCATAGTTCAACACGTGCACTAGTGGCACGTATTGACCATGATGTTGAGGAGTTTGATTGTAGATATTGTAATTCTCAATATCAGTACAAAATCCGACCAGATGATTTTTCTCCTGATAAGTTAATTCGGAGCCATCGGTGTAGTGAGTTTTGTCTACCATGTTTCGCACATTGTTTGAACAATCAAAATAAGCTGTCAATGGAAATAAGCTGTCAACTATTTTGAAATAAACAATATAAATTAGCTAATAACTATGTTTGAGAAACTCACATAGAGGTTGAATTGGAGGCGTATCAACAAGGACCCAAATGTCCATATTGTCTTGCTCGATTTCAGGATCACCAAGATCCATGGTGACAAGCATACCCTCATCAAAACCATACATCTTGCAAAGTGCTTTCCATTTTTTGCAACCAAAATGGGTTACGCTCTCAGAATTGTACAGCTTTACTTCAAAATCCACACCATGATGGGTCCTTAGGTGAATTTTCTTTATTTCGAAACTTTCATGGTCTTCAAAACCCATCCTCTCCAAGACATAGCGTCTTGCATGGCATGGGATAAGCTAGTCGAATTGTAAAATATGAAAAGTACACGTTGAAATATTTGAAGTCATGTTTAATTACGAAAAAATAACACTTGCCGTCGTTGCGTACCGTTTCAACATCGAAGGTCTCCTCCAGCTTAATGTTGAAGCGCCGATCTTCGTCCAGGTGAGGCCTGTCGCACTGACCTCGGTCGTCGTGGCACCAGTCGCACTCCCTCGGGAGACTTTCGTCGTCCGAGTACGACATTTCCTATGTTCATAATTCAAATATTAAACATCTACAATTAAATATATGTACTAAAAAACCTAAGTTAGATCATTATTATTCATCACGGGTTGACTATCGGTCTGTCGAGTCTTTTGTTGAAAACTCTCAGCTCACGTGGTGTATACATTCGACCGTTGGTGATGGTCGCTCCTCCTTTCATCCCCGAGTGCATTACACCAAAGTGTCTAGCACACGGGAATGAAGGAGAAGCGACCCCCACGACAACAGTCGGGATTCTACGGCCTCTCATATATATATGGTGGAACTCTCCCTCACTGATTCCTCTCTGACATTTGTGACCGTTGGTGATGGTAGCTCCTCCTTTCGTTCCAGAGTGCATTACACCAAATTGTCTAGCACACAGGAACGAAGGAGAAGCTACCCCCACGACAACAGTCGGGATTCTTCGTCCTCTCATATATGGTGGAGACTCGACAGACTTAAAGTCAACCCGAAATATCGTTTAATTATCTTTCTAAAAGAGGATTTGGCTGGTCTCGCCTCGATGTCGGAGGGGGTCGGTGACGGGGACGACGGCGGGGATGATGGAGGGGCCGGGGGCTCCTAGATTTCTGCAAAAACAAAAACCCTATAAGCTATCAACTAATCATATGCATATGCCTTGCATAGTGCTCTCCAATTTTAGCATCCAAAGTAGGAGTAGTTTTCCAATTCGAGCATTCAATAAGAAAAATCAAATCGCAAAATAAAGTAGTATTTAAATTAGGATGCATTCAATTATAAGCAAAACTACATCATCTCCATGCGTCCGTACATCATCGAATATTAGCACTAATACACCTCGAATACTATCATACATATAGCATCGCCAGTACAGCTAGAACCGTAGCGCTCGACGGGTATCGGTGCGGGCGGTGGACACCCAAAGAGAAGGAGCCATCACAGGATCGCTCCAGTGAGATCCCTGAAGAACCTGCCAGGTATTGTCGAACCTGCACTCCAACGCAACCATGTAGCGACGGACGTGCTCGTCCTCCTCGCTGACACGGTGACGTACCACCTCCGCGGTGTCCGGAAGCATAGGCACCGTCACTGGCCCACGCGACCACCACCAAACAAGGATCGGGTCAACGACGAGCTGGCTCCTCACCAACCTACGCCCCCTAGAAGGTAGCACCTCCCAAAACCAGCCCAGCGGAGCCCAGTCCCGGACATGGCCCCTCTGATCAAGTCGGCCTCCTTCGCCGAGTCGACGACGAGGATGAGGGATAGGCATCGTCGACGTCGATGCGGGAATAATTGCTTTAACTAAAAAAACAAACTAGTTCTATTAATTTCCTTGCTAAAAATAAACTACTTCTATAGTAAAATAAATAGTTTTGTTAAATCAACTAGTTCAACTACTAAGCACTTACTATAAATAGAATAAAGTAGTACTTACTAAT